GTTGTGGATCCCTGCCTACTCCACAAATGTGCACAGGGCAGCTAAGTGCGTTTCTATTTTTCTTTCAGCCTTCTCGCTCCCCTCTTTCCTATCACGAAGGTAACATCAGCTTGGTACTGCTGGTCCTCCGTTCGGAACACCTTACCATTGTCATACCTCATCCAGCTCGTACTACGACTTCGCTCTCGAACTCCTACTGTAGCTTACCAATTCATACTGTATTGTATAGTTTATTTATACCATGCTACCATAGTTTGTACTTTAATGGTAACTGTCCAACAGACCTTTCTGGCGTGATAGGGCCTCAAGGAAACAAGCATTCCAGCCAGTGTAGCTCATTAGGTCATTGGGACATACAAAACCGACCGCCACGTCAAGGTAGCAGCTATCACTTAGGGCTCTAATATCCAACCTTTAATCAACGGTAACAAAGTTTTCAGACTACCAGGCTAAGGCTTCACTCCCAATAATATACAAGAAACTCTAAACACGACATTGTGGACAGTTATTCTTGTCACTACCTTTCTGCAGCTTCGTGCAGACTACTCTTAGTTAAAGATCGGAAGCCTTGTCGGATGTCACGCAACCATTCATATACAGGAAAACAAAATCCACAGCTTCCTATTGATCGTCTTATTTCACTGGACTTCAAATACTGTTATGCATTCCGAGTGGATATAATACGCAAGCTTAAGTGACAGTTTACTTCGTACTCAAAAGCCACTGACTGTAACTCGGGCCGAATAGAGAAGAGGACTGAAGCTAGGTGTGAGAATTTATGCCTCCGAGAATAATAATCAATTAACCCAAATACACGTGAGCATGTATGCATGCGAGCTTCTGACCTTGTCCTCAAATTGAGACATTATGTAGTAAAAGTAAACATTAACGAATCAGCAAATCACCGTGCAGAAAATGAACTACTAGTCATACTGTAAAAGTTGGTGTAAACACGGCAAGTTAAAAAAATGTTCAGATCGATAACAAATGTCTTATGGAAACTAGGGCCTTCCAAACAATACAGTACATTTTGACGTTGAGATGATGTATAACACTTGTAACTTAAAATGATGATTTCCTACAGTATGTGCTGTTATTATTAGGTATGATATTCAGATCCTAGCAACTAAACCATCAACATGAGAGGGTACAACACAAAAATTATTATGAGGTCGAATCAGGCAACTTAAGTTGGCTACTAAATTAGACTTCAAAGTGGAAATCAGTGAGGGACAAGACAAAAAGACGGAAATAATTACAACAGATTTGGTAAACACCACGGACCAAAGGGAGTATGTAGTATGTCAGCAAAAGTATACAGTACCACCATAAAATGGAGATGTAGATGCATATATGACACTGTGATCGATATGCGTCAACGTTTTCTTAGAGTCTAAGCTTTCACGTAGGTTGTCTCATGAACCTCGATCTTAAGCTAATAGTCAGAAACTTCTTAAAATGGTACTGCATCTTGATCTTTATGCCTTTGGCTTTTCGTTAACTTGATTATTAGGCCATCATATCAAAAGTATTCGATGTATAGGCGTAACCAACAACAACCATCCTAGTTGATCGATGGGTAGTGCTCCTGTCCTCCACAATTTATTCATATTGTGTTTATCTAACAGGTAGTATTTTCGATAACGTATATATACCATTAGAGTATCCCTTATATGTTTCAACTGTTTCACAATTAGTTTTGGGAAGTATCAAGAATTATTTTACCTTAATTCAAACCAAATTTAGATGCTTACGTGATCCATGTAATAGAAAGGTTTATATGCTCCAGGCACCATGTTTCATACATGCAAGATATTAGACTTATGAATTATTTGGTATGTTATCGAACCCAATTATTATAGAAAATTAATTAACACACTAATAAAGCTATTTTTCGTCTCTTTGGTTTATTCGAAGCATCAAGAACAAGATATTCAGCGAAGAGACTCTTTTCAACGAATTTATTTTCAAGCTGTACAATCGTATATATATGGTATTTGGAAAAAATTATATCCTGTGAGGAAAACTAAACACTATATGGTGATGACAATAGTAATAGAGCGGGTGATGACATAGGCATTTATGATTATAATAACAATTGAAGTGCGAATGATAACAAATAGATTATGTAATATATGGAATGGTACATAGAGAGTATATAACTCAGAAGGGGGTGAAAAAATTGTTGAAAATGGTAAATCAATTAAGTATTATGTAATGGCATTAGACAAATTGGACAAGATGAAGTCAATGTTTTCTAAAAGGATTAAGACAATTAAGTGAAACAACACCGGAAACTAGTTGAAGTGAAGGCGATTATAATAACAATAATAGTGATAAAGGAAGGATACAAAGGTTAAATTAACAAAGTGGGAGGGGGAGCTAATGGGGTGGGAAAATGTTATGGCCATGATAAAGACAGTGACTGCACATACTTCTTTTGTACACACAGATCAGGTCTTAGTTCATGAATAGCTAAAGCCTCCGCTGTTTTAAGGAGTTGAAAACGAAGAGAACGTGGGAGGTTTGGGCGAATTCGATAAATAATTTCAAAGTCATCGTCTGGATTTGTTGTGTGATGGAAGTCAATCAAATGTTCTAGAATCGAACTTCTAACAGACTTTCTTTCACCTTTATAAAACCAAGCAGGAACATGTTCTCGTATACGTGTAGAAAGCATTCTCTGGCTACGGCCGATGTACCTTGCTCCACAAGAGCAGGTGAACTGGTAGATGCACATAGAGGCGGCCAAACGAGGAAGCTTGTCTTTAACGCAGGTGGAGAATAGGTTGCGGCTGGTAAAAGTCAACTGAAGTCTTGCTGCGAAGAAAGTCCTATTGATTGATCTGGTAAGACGATTCTTCAGTACATCCGATGCTAGGTCTCCTTTAAACTCTAGGCTCATAAACAATCTTTTCTTTGAGACCGAGTGGATGACTGGTTTAGTGTTTCTTTCCCGCATATTTTTATCAATAAAACGGCTAGGGTAACCGTTTTCGACAAGTATGCTTTTTAAAAAGATAGCTCTTCATCGATACAATCGTCACTACAGATACTTCTTATTCGATAGCAAAGAGAGTGAATAAGATTTCTTTTTCTGTTGATGGGCACCCAACTATAAAAATTAGTTAGTTGTCCGTTCCACGTTGGTTTTCTGTAGATGGATCTTTTAAGGTATCCATTCTGACGTCGGGTGAGAAGCACATCAAGAAAAGGAATAGTTGATTCTGATTCCTTCTCTATAGTAAACTTGAGGGCTTGATGACATTCATTGAATGAACGAAGCACATCGTCGAGGTCTACATTTTTGTCGCAAATAACAAACGTGTCGTCCATATATCTTCTATAAAAGTCAAAGCTATCAATAGTTTGACGAAGTTGTGAATTTTCTAGTTTCGACATGAAGAAATCTGCTAGCAGTGGTCCCAATGGTGACCCCATCGCAATTCCATCTTTCTGTCTATAGATTTCATTATTGAAACTGAATTGGACATTAAATGTGCACCTCAACAAAAGCTCTTTCAAGCAGCTCGTTGGTAGTCCTACGTCTAAATTATGTGCATCAATATAGTCACATACATAACAGACAGTTTCGGTGAGTGGCACACTCGTGAACAATGAAGTGACGTCTAATGAAAACATCATCTTGTTTAGAGCATTAAAATCCTTAATACCCTCAACAAACTGAAATGTATCACGGATAGAAAAACTCGATACTTGCTTTCTAACAGGTTCCAGCTAACCATTGAGTAGTTCGGTGATAAGGAGAACCAGCCATATCCGAAACTGTTCTGGAAAGCACTTAGGAGAAACCATATCCGACCTAATTCTAAAACACTGAAGCGTCACGCACTTAATCGTATTGATGCCATTAGCTCTCGTATTGTTGAGTTAAAACGAAATATATCCACGAGAAATTATGCCCTTTATTAGTTATCTACTGATGAACGCAAACAGTTCGAGGAGTATATCATTACAGTCGTAGAAAATCAGTCTCAGTCGGCCAATCTTAAACACTCCGATGGTTTGAAGCCAGTTGAAATAGAAAGTAAATTTCCGAATAATCCAGAAAAATATGTATTTAACCACTCTCACGTTAATCTTTCGACAATTCAAATGCAAGCCCTATCGCTGGGCTCAAAGTTTCGCAGCAGTGCATCCAAGGTTAACAGATTACATACCCAAGTACAATTTGAAAATTTAATCAGCCAGATTGACGGTCTTACGCCTGCATCGCCGCAAAAATTTCAGCATTCAAGCCCACTGTTCTGGATTGCTGTCACCAATTTACCAACTCCAAAGTCAGTTCTAGCTCTTTATTAACCAAGGACCATATACAACGGCATGAGGGATAAATCAATAATTGACCCTGATTTATATGAACGTATCCGACCAGTTGGTACTATAATCCCACATCTATATGGACTACCAAAGATACATGATGCGGGATTACCTCTTCGTCCGATCCTCGATATGGCTGCTTCTCCTTATCAATATAGTCACACACATAACAGACAGTCTTGGTGAGTGGCACACTCGTGAACAATGAAGTGATGTCTAGTGAAAACATCATCTATATCAAATAAACAAATCTAATATGGAATTACATTTTACCACAGTGCCCAGGTTTTACACTTAAAACATCATCTTGTTTAGAGCATTAAAATCCTCAATGGTTAGCTGAAATTCTTAACTTGTTTGAAGGCAAGTATCGAGTTTTTCTGTCCGTGATACATTTCAGTTTGTTGAGGGTATTAAGGATTTTAATGCTCTAAACAAGATGATGTTCTCACTAGACATCACTTCATTGTTCACGAGTGTGCCACTCACCAAGACTGTCTGTTATGTGTGTGACTATATTGATAAGGAGAAGCAGCCATATTGAGGATCGGACGAAGAGGTAATCCCGCTCATCTCTCCTGTTATACGATGTTGGTATGATCAAAAGATGTCAGTAGCTTTCGTAATTATCAACCTAACCGCTTTCGATGTTTTCATTTTTCAGGTTCTGTCAACCGGTTGAGTTTTGCAAATCATGATTCAAGTCGTTTGGCATTAGCTTCATCGGATGGCACAGTATCCATCTGTCATATATGTCCAGCCAGTGGAAGATTTTCAATTTCATGTGTCTTGCCGGAATTTCGCGTGAAACAAACAGAAATTACTGATATAGCATGGTCCATGACGAATGAGTTTCTAGCAAGTACTTCTCTTGATGGTAACATATGTTTATGGGATGTTGCAGAAGCAAAGTTGGCACGAGAGTATTTAGATAGCGACCTCAAACTTGGTCCACTACTGGCATGTGCTTTTCAACCTGCAAATAACAACATATTTGCTGTTGGCAGTGTTACTGGAATTGTTCAGGTAGGTAGTCAATTGTTTGGTCCCAACAATTTTTTGTACTACATTTGGCTTTCACATCAATTTTTTCAGCTGTTTTAAGTTTTGAGGATGTGCATGTATATTCGTGTGGTTCTGGAATAAAGCAAGAAACTTCAATTTTCAATATTTGATTGATTAGGAAAACAGATGTCCGTCAGTGACTCTAAAGCACCGGAAGACAAGTAACCGAATTAAACAAGCTATACTTGTAGAACGCCTATTTCATCGAATTCCTACCATGCCAGAAAGCTCATTTTGATAGTGGTCGGACAAAAAGTAGTTGCCGTTTTAATGTAAATTACTACACTATGATGGAGGTCTGAGGGCGAAACCGTACTGCCACTAGCTGGATAGGGTGCGATAGCAATAAGGTGTTTCCTTTGGTTAGCCAGCAGTGTCACGCTGATGCTGCCTTCCCAATAAGCAGGAAATTTATAAACCGTTAGCCTCAAAATAAAGTATTCACAACCCTTTGCGGCATATGGATGCCTGACACGGAATCATAGCTGGACTCAAAACTAACAACAAATATCTCGAACTTGTAACAAGTCACTGTGTGTGAATAGCTTCAACCAGATATTCCTTGGGGTCTGCGGCAACACTACCCAAGAAGAGCAAGCATTCCACGGCGTGGATAGCTGAAAAAAGTCAACATACAGCACGCTTCCAGTAGTACACAAAACCCAATCAAACATATATTATCGACCTAAAATCTGAATTCTCCTTTGCCTTCACCTCCTGATACCAACATTGGGCCTCTTACTCTGTATCCAACGTCTCCCTCTCCAACGATCAAATCCATCGAAATCCCATTCTTAGTCTCCTGAGACCACCCCCCACCGACTTCATATTGGACCACTCAATGTCCGAACTCCATGACATATCGGACAGCAAGCATCGTTCTTCAGAACTATGGAATCTCTAGCCATGGATATATGCTGTGTCTCTGAGACACATATACAGGTCCCGAATGTGGTTATTAAGTTGACCTCACCTGACCGTTGTAGTGAATCTTGACAGTTCGCCTTACTCAATGGCTAGTTGCCGTGATCTCGCTGGCGTATGCATGGCATCGAGCTGTAGAGCAGAAAGTGCTCTCCTCGACTGGATACCAGTCAACAGCCATCCACATGCTGTCCGACTGAATGGATCAGTAGAATCAATAACGGATCGGAAGACCAGCAGATGCCTATTTGTAATCTCCGCCTACACACCCACCGACTGGAGTTTGGATGATGCAGGGGATGAATTCTAACAGCTGTCAATTTCGCTACAGAAAGCAAAGTGTTCATTGTAGTCGTAATCGTAGGTGACTTTAACGCTCAAGTAGGGAAACTGAGCTGAGATGAGTCAACCGAAAAGGCTTTTTTTTGTTTACGGAATCCCATGCCAACGACCGACAACGGTGATCGTGCGTTGCAATTTCTCCCCAACAACCACTTGTTTTTAGCCATCACCAACTTTAAGCATAAGGAGAGACACTGTCTCAATTGGCGTCCGCCAACATCAAACCAACGCTGGACACAGATGGATTATATTGCTATAAACCATCGGTGGTGGATTGCCGCTTTCTAGAGTACCAGTTTGAACTCCAATCACACGCTAGTACGGACTCGTTTATATCTGCGCCTTACTGGTTGCAGGAAACAGGCGATAGCAAAGCCTGCGTTTTCTCACTTGGAAGACGAGGACGCCAAATACGTGTTTTGGGAGGAGTTAGCTAACAATTTATCTCCACATGACAGTAATGCTCATCCTGAGGAAACCTGACTTGATATTAAGTTTGCTATAGAAACAGTGGTAAAGACAATCAGTAGCCTATACCTTAGGTTAGCAAACATCACTGGATTTTCGCAACGTCATCTGAACTGATTGATGCGAGAAGACTGATTCCAGCTGGCTCTGACCACAATGAAGAGCAAAGGCAAATTAGACGTAATTTAACCAAGAGTCTTCACGTTGATTGCGAGCAGTGGTGGGTGGTTAGAGCAAGTGAGATGAAGAAGGTATCGGCATTGGGTTGCAACCGGTAAGTACCTAGGTTTCTTAAGGATACGGAGCAGAAGACGATGGTGAGTGAAACCACCACCGAGACGGTAAGAACACTAATAGCCTCCCAGGATATGTGGCAGGGAAGTTGGGCAAAAAACTTTGAAGCATAGTTCAACTGGCCCTCAGCAACCCTTCGTTTGCCCAACAGCCAGCCTGAACCTGAGTGGATCATAGATGTCGACCCTCCAACTCTCCTCAAAGTTGAGAAGACTGTATCAAACTTGAAACGATGCAAGGCAGCGGGATCCAATAGCTTGTCTCAGGGATGACAGTAGGGAATTGGTGATTAGAGTGACGGAGGTACTAGGTGGTGTATGGAAATCAGGGGTAGTGCCATCAGACTTGTCTACTTCACTGAACATCCCAGTCAATAAGAAGGGAGAGAATTCTTCTTGTGACAACCAAAGGGGAATTTGTTGGATTAATATTGTGTCGAAGACCGTGGGATCCATAGTTATTCTAATCATTAGTAGAAATCTGTGAAAGTTCTGCATGCGTTACACCTTTGTAATAAGTAAGACAATGTAACAGTGCCGCACCAACACCTGGGTTGAGGATGAGTAGAATTCATTGATCACTTCGCTTAGGAAGTTGCAAGTTTTACATTTGGGAATCGATGACGGTGAGATATCTGACCACCCATCAAAGGATGAGTATGCTATGCGACAGTCAGCCTAGTAAGTTAAACGGGTGAAGAAGCTTTGCACAAGCTTGTATAACTGAATACTGTCTCTAGCTACAAAAACCATCACAGGGAGCTGTTATGTTTCACCAACAACCAACATAAAACGTTCGTTACTTCTAAAAGCAATTGTAGTGCATTAATAATCACTGGATTAACAATAACCACAACTAAGCAAATAATACTTTTAAATAAAAATGCTACAAAACTGCTCAATATACAGTTATTTTTCCAAACCAAGTTACATCACCGCAAATACTGATTGTTGAACATTTAAGAAAGTCATCATAAAAAAGAGTACACGTATTTATTCGCATAAAGTAACATTTATGCAAGAACATCAAAGCCTGGAAAGCCAGTCACGTTTGAGACAATACGTCGATCATGTTAACACTGCTGCGGGTTCTGGAGCACTTGACTTGAGTGCGGCATTTCACTCTGTCGACCTTGAGGTGTCTGCGAAGTGAGTACCGATCTCTACTCTAGCTCAGGAAGCCGTGTAAACGTTTTTGGAGACTTGTCAAATGAACTGGTGACAACTATTGTTGTCTTACATGGATGTCGACTGTCACCGTTCCTATTTACCTTCGTTATAGACGTACTAATGGACATAACTCTAAGTACTCCTGACTTCAGAGGGACTGACCTGCTCTCTTTAGGTCATCTGGTTTACTTGCAGTATGCAGATGATATTGTCCAGCTAGGTGAAGACACTAACAAAATGCAAGGTCTTGTGAACTCATTGAACAGAAATCTGATTATGTTTGGCATGCGTATCGCTGGCACATGTCATATGGAAGAGGATGCTAGGCAGGACGAGCAAGTTGGTTGGTCAGATTGTTAAACTTCACCAGCTGAGGTTGGTTGAACATATGTTGTGCATGCCAGGACACCACCATCGCCTACATTGATGCATCATGCTGTTGGAAGCCGAATTAGGTTTAAAGTGTTCGTGTTGGCTTGGCCAAAACGTGGCACCAATCGATGAAGTCCCTGGCTGTTGGTCCGGGTCTTGTTGTGAGATGTAGACTACCTGACAGGGGTTTTCAAAACGGTAGGAGTCAATGGTTTGGAACTTCTGATGGCATAGCTTGAAAACAGTGGCAATTGCGCAGATGTGTTTTCACTCTTCTAAATTTTGAACATTCGCACTATCGTTTATTTTCAAAATTTTCTTTCTCCAGCATAACTATGTCGAGTTGATACCACTCTTATTCTGTCTACCTGTCCTTTGTATACTCTCATGAATTGTGGTACTGTAGTGGGCGTCGCTGATCAAAGTGGATATAAGTAGTATATATGAAAGGACAGTGGAAATCACAGGGAATTACCAACAATGGATAAAGATTCTGCCCAGAGAAACGCAAGAGACAATGTGAATTTATTAAGAGCAAATCAGGACAGAAGCAGAATAGGAAATGAAGCACATTGTGCAAATGACTGTCTTAGTGGAAGGTGTAGAATATTTGATCATTACACTATGTCATTGATCAAAATTCTTCCCTACGCCTCATTCTTCTTGTTTTCTATGATTGGTGTCGCTGCTTCTGAACATGATGAAGATTCAATGGATTCCATTGTTCGAGCATGGAGACATCGGTTTCTTCCTGAGTAGCTTCAAGTCGGTGGTGGAGCTGGTGGGTGCCCAGAATTCAGTAGCGAAGATCATTATGCTTGTCGCGTTTCTGAGGGATAGAGCGAAAGCGCATATGATGGCGTGAAACCTGTGGATTGGAACGAGATTTGAAAGAGAATGGTTGAACGCCTGGATTCGGAGTTTGACAGCCCGGCGGTCAGGGAGCTGCCGATGCAGTAGTTCCGGAGCACGAAACGTGGAATAGATAAAGACCTGCTGGTATTGCCTATGAAGTTGACAAAAATACTTCGACGTGCACTTTCCACTTTGGGTGAGGACTCTCAGGCACAGTTGCTGGCTGCACAGTTCACCGAAAGTGTCCCAAATACCATCGCCCAACCCATGGATGTTAGTGAGCTGGCGAAGTTCACCAGACACCTGATTGGTACAGCAGTAGCTGCGGTAGAGTCATCAGAGGTAAATAACTTGAGAAAATAAGTCAATAACCTTCGGAGGGAGTTGGCTGCACTTCGAATGAATATCAACAGACAGAGTAAATGTTTTGCATGCGGAAAGTTGGACACTGGCGAAGAAACTGTCTAGAGAGGCGAAAAAAATGTTTTCAGTGACATAATATGAGTTCTATTTTTCCGATTAGACTAGATGTTGTAGGAGCCATAGATTGAGGTGCTGTGTATGCTAGAATGCGAATAAACGATCGAGAGATCGTGTGCCTAATAGATACGAAAGCGGCAGTTTCACTGATAGATAAGAGTCAATCTCAGAACGTAAGACCATATGCGCTAACGGTCCACACGGTTAGGGGACATGCATTAGAAATCTCAGGCTTATCAGATTGTGTCCTCGAGATCGGAAGTGGGAAAATTAGATTCCAATTGATTGTCACTACGCGTCTACAGCGGGAAAACCTAGATGCTGATTTTTTGAGAGAAGTGGGTGCAGTTATTAAGACGACAACAGGAATAGTGGCGACAAAGTACAGGTCGTTTTCATGCAGGAAAATAGTGAGGTAGCAGATATCGAGGTGAGGTTTCAAAAGCACCACACCCAGAAGTGCCAAACATCGTGAAGTTGGTTAAGAAATACGATAGATTGTTCACGGGAGATGGAGACCAGACCCCTACAGATACTGTGACAAGGTTCAGAATGAAATCCTAGTGAAAAGTCAAGGAATGACAACATTTATAACACGGCGAATACCATTTCACTTAGAAGTTGAGCGCCAGGTTCAGCAAATGCTAAATAAAGGTATTATTGAAGGGGCTGATAGCTCATACAGTTCGCCACTGCTCTCAGTAAAAAAGTCCAATGGGAAACAGATTCCGTGTAGATTTCCCTTAGCTAAATATCATAACGCAACCAATCCCTGTCCTATGCCGACGGTAGCTGAAACACTGGGTCGTCTGCAGAATGCAAATGTATTCACAGTTCCAGACCTCCGTTCAGGCTGCTGGCAGCTACTAATAAAAGAAAGCGATAAAGAGAAAAAAGCATTCATTGTGGACTAGGAAGAATACCAATTCAAACGAATGCCATTTTCTCTGGCAGGCACGCTATTTACATTTAGATGGTTGGTAATGTTGTTACTGAAGAATTTAGAGAACGTAGAGGTGTATGGTGACAACCTGGTGGTGTACAGTCAAACGGAAGCCGAACATCTAGAACACATGGAAGTTGTTTTAAGACGCATTGACGAGTTTGGACTTCGTATCAATAAGACAAAGTTTCAGGTAGCTAAGAAGTGTTACATTACTAGAACAATAGTTGATAAAACCATCACCTGGGAAAATTCTGACTGTTAAGAGTATTGCTATGCCGAGTTCCAAGAGGAAACTGCGACAATTCTTGGGTAGAGCAGGATTCTACAATCGGTTCCTCAAAAATTTCAGTGAGATAGCAGCACCTTTATGCAAGGTACTTGGTAACCCCAAATTTTCGTGGACAGAGGAGGCACAGAAAATGTTTGATCATATCAAGGAACTCCTAAATGACCAGGAGATGACGTTAAAACTGTGTCCACCGATGTGAGTGATTATGGAATAGGCACAGTTTTGAGACAGACCGAAGAAGTAGTGGAGTATGCCAGCTGTGTCCTGACACCTGCAAAACAGAAATATTCCACGGTTGAAAAGGAATGTCTGGCGATAGCTTTTCTGCTGGATAAATGGAGATCGTACCTCCTCAGTCAATGATTTTATTAGAAACTGATCATAAACCTCTACAGTGGCTAAAGACAGCAAGAGACCCCAGGGGAAAATTATCACGGTGGATGTTATGACCGCAAGAATGCTATTTCACAATCGGTCACCTCGCATGGAAAGAAAACTTGCTGGTGGACTTATTATCAAGATCAGACGAAGAGAATTAACTACCTGAGATCACATATGGTGTGCAAGCAGTAGAGCAGGACTTAGTAAGACTTATTCGCCTTCAAAAGTCGGACCCTACACTTAAGGAAGTGATAGAAGCAATAACTGAAAGAATGGAGACAGACAAGTCTGTTGCAAATAGAGTTGAGAAGGTTACTTACGCAGAAAGAACACCTACCGGTGAAAACTTATGAAATGCTAACTTGGCGAGAAAACGACGGTAGCTGGTTGGCAGTGATTCCGAAATGTCTGCGCAATAAAATGATGCAAGAATGCCACTAGTTAGCTCATACAGATGTCGCACGGACAATCGACCTTCTCAGACAAAGTGCATACTGGTCCCTATGAGAAGTGTTTCCAAACACGTTTTAGGCTGTCCATATTGTCAGTTGATGAAAAATGATTGGTATATACGACCGCCGTTTCAGTCGATTCCAGTGCAGGTGGCTGCTGACCTGTGGTCTGCGGACGTAATGGGACAATTTCCATAGACATCTAGTGGCATCCAATACCTGTTGGTGATGACGGGGTATACTACATGATGGGTAGACACTGTCGTGATTCCTGATCAACGCGCGAAGACAGTAACCGCGGTGGTGAATGGGCGTATTGTCGCGGATCACGGTGTACCAAGATTGATACTGACCGACCAAGGTCCTTGTTTTGAGAGTGAAGAGTTCAAATGCTGTTTGGAGCAACTTGATATCAAGAGGATAAGAACGACACCATACTACGACCGGCAGACAACGGAATAACTGTACACTTAAGAAGTGGCTGGCTTCGAAAGCCAAGGAGGGAATTGGGAAATGGAACTGCCATCAATATTATTAGCGCATCGTGCCTCTATAAAAGGAACAACCAAGAAGTCGTCATTCTAGTTAATGTATGACAGGAAACCACGGCTCCCCAAACATCGTAAGACCTGGCCCCAAAAACAGCAGTGGAAAATGACAGGCTTGAGAAAGGAGCGGAAACGGGCAATCAGAAATGTGGAACAAAAACAGAAAGCTGATGCTGAAAAATCCAAGCAGATAGACGAAAGTAAATGGAAACCTTTGGAAGTCGGAGACACCTGATTACTACTACTCCAGTTATTAACTGTCTATAGAATTTTACACGGCTGTGAAAGTTTGAGTAGATAAGTTGGTCAGTGCTACGCCTTCTCTCGTTACTCCCTTCACAGTCGGAAGATTTGAATGTCGCCTTCAGGTGAAGAAATGTGGCGAGTGTATAGCGTTGGTGTCTTTCTTCCAAAAGGAGTGAACTGCATTCGGAGAAACCGCCGTTATATTCACTAATATCTGAGCATTGTATTAGTTTTTAAATTGACTGTTCCTTAAATATTTTGTACTCTTATAAACCTTTTTTTTTCATTTTTGCAGATGGTGAACCTATCTACGGGAAAATCTTGTGTCAAGGGGATGGATCGTATTCACATTACTCCTCATGGTCGCAAAACCGGTCTACAATCATCGGTCATTGAATTACGTAGTTTCTTAGGTACAGGTTGTATCACAACTTTAGCCTTTGAAAATGCATCTGGCAACTACTTGTGGGTTGGAACTGATCGAGGTATCATACAGTCTTACATATGTGAGCCGTCTACAGGTTCCATAAGAAGATCACAACGTTTTGATATATCTCCCTTAAATCTGTCTGTTTCGTCAGGATGTTTAGTTAATGAAATTAAACTGCATGATTTATTGAATGAACCATCTGGGGGCCGAAGGGCCCACTTTTTGTCTAAAGCAGACCAAAGTTTGAGGAAGTGGAGCAATATTAAAGAAAAAACAGTTATATCTAGCTCCAAACTTAGGTCTTATAGTAAGAACACCCTTACGCCCAGTATAACTAGTCTTTCTATATACGCTTGGCTGTCTAAAGAAAAGAACGACACATACATGCTAATTAATGTAGTCGGTGTCGGATTATTGTTGCTGCGACTAACACTGCACGGAAGACAGCTAATACTGGAACAAAGGTTTCCACTACAACAAAGTGCCACCTGTTTAAATTCAACAACCCCTCGACTTATTCATTCCTGTTTTGCACCACTAATATCTTTCCGTTCTGGAGCGTGTGCTGTTAGTGGAAGTGAAGATGGTAATGTCTACCTATATAATGTCCTAAGTAGTCGGAACGGAAGCTCTGTTTCAGGAAACGTTCCTACTCGAGCTAAGCAGCTGTCCACCGGTGTTGTTACTGTCTTACAGGGACATACATCGCCAGTATTAGATGTCGCAATCAGTTGGGAAGAGAATATGCTAGCATCAGCAGACGAAAAAGGTGCAGTCATAATATGGAGAAGAAACGGAAAATCGTCAACTGGCTGAGGGATAACTTAATTTCCTCTTTTCATAAATTCCCTTTTGATATTATAATACTTCATGCAATACAGTGTATGGTTAGATACATGTGTTCCTATGACTCGTACTTGATTCTCCCTCTTAACATTTGTACATATGTTGTTTTAATGTACATAAATGCTTGTAATCTTTTTTATGATGACTTTCTTAAATGTTCAACAATCAGTATTTGCGGTGATGTAACTTGGTTTGGAAAAATAACTGTATATTGAGCAGTTTTGTAGCATTTTTATTTAAAAGTATTATTTGCTTAGTTGTGGTTATTGTTAATCCAGTGATTATTAATGCACTACAATTGCTTTTAGAAGTAACGAACGTTTTATGTTGGTTGTTGGTGAAACATAACAGCTCCCTGTGATGGTTTTTGTAGCTAGAGACAGTATTCAGTTATACAAGCTTGTGCAAAGCTTCTTCACCCGTTTAACTTACTAGGCTGACTGTCGCATAGCATACTCATCCTTTGATGGGTGGTCAGATATCTCACCGTCATCGATTCCCAAATGTAAAACTTGCAACTTCCTAAGCGAAGTGATCAATGAATTCTACTCATCCTCAACCCAGGTGTTGGTGCGGCACTGTTACATTGTCTTACTTATTACAAAGGTGTAACGCATGCAGAACTTTCACAGATTTCTACTAATGATTAGAATAACTATGGATCCCACGGTCTTCGACACAATATTAATCCAACAAATTCCCCTTTGGTTGTCACAAGAAGAATTCTCTCCCTTCTTATTGACTGGGATGTTCAGTGAAGTAGACAAGTCTGATGGCACTACCCCTGATTTCCATACACCACCTAGTACCTCCGTCACTCTAATCACCAATTCCCTACTGTCATCCCTGAGACAAGCTATTGGATCCCGCTGCCTTGCATCGTTTCAAGTTTGATACAGTCTTCTCAACTTTGAGGAGAGTTGGAGGGTCGACATCTATGATCCACTCAGGTTCAGGCTGGCTGTTGGGCAAACGAAGGGTTGCTGAGGGCCAGTTGAACTATGCTTCAAAGTTTTTTGCCCAACTTCCCTGCCACATATCCTGGGAGGCTATTAGTGTTCTTACCGTCTCGGTGGTGGTTTCACTCACCATCGTCTTCTGCTCCGTATCCTTAAGAAACCTAGGTACTTACCGGTTGCAACCCAATGCCGATACCTTCTTCATCTCACTTGCTCTAACCACCCACCACTGCTCGCAATCAACGTGAAGACTCTTGGTTAAATTACGTCTAATTTGCCTTTGCTCTTCATTGTGGTCAGAGCCAGCTGGAATCAGTCTTCTCGCATCAATCAGTTCAGATGACGTTGCGAAAATCCAGTGATGTTTGCTAACCTAAGGTATAGGCTACTGATTGTCTTTACCACTGTTTCTATAGCAAACTTAATATCAAGTCAGGTTTCCTCAGGATGAGCATTACTGTCATGTGGAGATAAATTGTTAGCTAACTCCTCCCAAAACACGTATTTGGCGTCCTCGTCTTCCAAGTGAGAAAACGCAGGCTTTGCTATCGCCTGTTTCCTGCAACCAGTAAGGCGCAGATATAAACGAGTCCGTACTAGCGTGTGATTGGAGTTCAAACTGGTACTCTAGAAAGCGGCAATCCACCACCGATGGTTTATAGCAATATAATCCATCTGTGTCCAGCGTTGGTTTGATGTTGGCGGACGCCAATTGAGACAGTGTCTCTCCTTATGCTTAAAGTTGGTGATGGCTAAAAACAAGTGGTTGTTGGGGAGAAATTGCAACGCACGATCACCGTTGTCGGTCGTTGGCATGGGATTCCGTAAACAAAAAAAAGCCTTTTCGGTTGACTCATCTCAGCTCAGTTTCCCTACTTGAGCGTTAAAGTCACCTACGATTACGACTACAATGAACACTTTGCTTTCTGTAGCGAAATTGACAGCTGTTAGAATTCATCCCCTGCATCATCCAAACTCCAGTCGGTGGGTGTGTAGGCGGAGATTACAAATAGGCATCTGCTGGTCTTCCGATCCGTTATTGATTCTACTGATCCATTCAGTCGGACAGCATGTGGATGGCTGTTGACTGGTATCCAGTCGAGGAGAGCACTTTCTGCTCTACAGCTCGATGCCATGCATACGCCAGCGAGATCACGGCAACTAGCCATTGAGTAAGGCGAACTGTCAAGATTCACTACAACGGTCAGGTGAGGTCAACTTAATAACCACATTCGGGACCTGTATATGTGTCTCAGAGACACAGCATATATCCATGGCTAGAGATTCCATAGTTCTGAAGAACGATGCTTGCTGTCCGACATGTCATGGAGTTCGGACATTGAGTGGTCCAATATGAAGTCGGTGGGGGGTGGTCTCAGGAGACTAAGAATGAGATTTCGATGGATTTGGTCGCCGCAGATTGAGATGTTTTTCAAGGCGTAAGAGGACTATTGTTAGTAGTAGTCGGTTAATGCAGGATTGGTTAAGAAGTTGTGGGCGCAAGTTATGTTTGATTCAGTGTTGGATTCTAATTGGAACATGCGCGCGTTCGAGGAACCTTCTTCTCCGACCTAACCTTCACACGACAGTGTAATGGCGTCACATACTCACAGTATTTATTTTTGGCAGTAGCAAGTAATCATATTCAACGTTCGAATGTAAGACTTAGTGTAGCCTGGGGTTCTGCTCACTCAAAGTTTAGATGCTTGAACATGCCAGCAGTTAGTAATCACACTATATCGATGGTCTGAGTTTTGATAAACGTCGGCTGATCGAGAAAGCTTGGAAAGTAGACAATGTTATCATGGGACCTGATAATACAACATAGCGACTCAATTTGCCACAGGGATCAGAACAGCAACATATAAAGGTTCAGATTGAATGGTGAATCACAATTGAAACGCAGTCACAAAACGACAAGGTAAAATAATAGCGATATACTATGCGCTTTCAGCCATTATCCCAAAATCAGCTTATCGAAGGTCACTTCAAGTTGACAGGAGGATTTAGGTTATTTAAAAGGGGGAAACGTTTTAAGACATTCATGACTAGTGGTTTACATTTGGAGTGAAGCACTGCAAGGTTTTTCAAAAACGAACGTGGGGTATCTTTTGACAATACTAAGAATACAAAAGGGTTTTAATGGAACGTTGTAGATCTTATGTTTCCAAGAACTAAAAGGTTGGTTAGTGTCATGTTATTAAACAATGCTAGACTTCTAATAACTTATTACTATCCAGTCAGTATTACTCCAGAGTTATTTAGAAGGCATTATTGAGTAAGCTACTAAGTCATTTGGAGGCACAAAAACTTTCGAAACAAATAATCCTTTTTGACAAACCACCAGCGACAATAAAATACCCGTCCACTTGACTTTCGGTAAACTATCCCACACAATGCTGATGAATTTTTATTTGGCATCGATAATGAGGTTCGTGCACCGACTGGGAAATACCGACGGAAAGTTAGGGTGGTTGCAATGCTAAGTGGAAACTATTAAACATTGGCGTGTCGTATTTAACGGTGTCAGAACACGTCCACTACTAGGAGTATGGTCAATTTTCATGAGAACTACATGCCAAGTAGTAACATTATTCCGCTTCATTACTTGTTTTAAATTAGACTGACAACTGCACTATTAATACAAACCAAAATACTGGAACTCCGATCACTTTGAAACACCCTACTGCCCACCTCATGAGATACCAAATGTCGATGAAGTTTCCATTGTAGAATGGATTAATTATGTGTAAATTTCTGATTTGCCATTTTAATTTTTTCACCCCTTTCTGAGCTATACACCTTTTGTGATCCATCCCACATATTACGTAATGTACTTGGTTATCATGCATACTTCAATTATTATCGGAAAAAATGTCTGTCATCATCCGCTCTATAATTATTGTCATCATCGTCATATGGTGTTTGGTTTTCCTCACGGGAGATTTTTCAAATATCATATATATATATATATATATATATATATATATATATATATATATATATATATATATATATATATATATGATTGTACAGCTTGAAAATAAAATCGTCGAAAAGTTTCGTCGCTGAATATCCTATTTTTGATGTCAAAATCGCAATTATTAAATTCTTTGAATGACAAATTTTGTGCGTAAACTCGTCATTCCTATTTGCTGGTGCTAACGATTCGTCTGCACTATAAGATTATCTAGAAGGGCGGAGGCGCCCCGCGATTTATCCCAGAAGTGCAATAATGCGGACCGATCAACAGAGAAAACTAAAACCTCATCTTATGAGAAATATTTAGGGTAAAGATCTGAGGATCAAAACATACTGAGCCGCCCCAGCGTCCCACAAGCTTCGCGTAACATCAAGGTGCTTCCATGATAGTTCCTTAAACACTCCATACCCACTGTTTTCAAAGCCTAAGTATTATATCCAGGCAGCTTGCCTACACGTCATACAGTAAGCTGACATTGCAAGTGATTCAAGTAGTAGTCACTACCTTCCGGTCCACCTTTCAATAAAAAATAACTGGTAATGCTTAACATTTGCTTTAGATGACATCCATTACTGGCAATTTGCATCTAGTATGACTGCGGTACTCACTAGCGAAACCTGTTTTCTTTAAGACATCTTAACTCCAGGCCTATCAGAAAATGATAAAAAGTAGGTAGTCCACCAACGGTCCTTACAATCACTGAGCAACGACTTGAGCTGATTACTGGGTCAAAAAACAAACGCTTGCTTGACGAAAGTTTTCTAAAAAAAGAACAGCCTTCCCAATCATTGCGGGCTGATACGTGATGCTCTCGATATCAGGTCGTCCAGTGGACTGGAGATACACTGACGTCACGCACAAACAACCATTCCCTATAATCAAAGCATAGGGACAGCGTATTCGTGAAGAGGCCATCCACCTCACATTTAGGGCTTCGATACACTACGATTGGGTTAACATATTGACCTTTAGAAATTTAATCCGCAGCACACCACCTAAGATGTCCTACTTTCTTGTGCAACCATTCCCATGGCCCTTAGTTAGCATATTCTTGATGTACGGGATGATACCACTACGCCTGCGTACCAACCTACCACCTCAAAAAAGAACGACTTCTCGTAAAATGCTTCCATTGTCGTTGATCTCAGGAGGTAGCCGAGTTTCTGAGATAGGAACGGTTGCAGGGCTTTCCGTGTTTGTTGCATTTCTAGGCTCAGTTCATTTGTTTAGGAGACCATGTGCACAAGATGACAAAGCCACTTAGATGAGTTTTCGTCTTATCCACAAAGGCTTTGGGGTCATTTGTGGCCGGGACCTATTTTTGGCAAGGAATACGTTCCTTTTGCTCAATCTACATACCTTAGGCAGGTTGACCCCTGATATGCCTCCCGATAACAGCTTGTTTACCAAGTTTGTACCGTACCAAATTCATGTCTGAAACAGTTACTTGGTTTCCAGTCAATACTCTCTTCCATTCTGCATAAGATTACAGACTCTTCTAAGAGTTCCACCTTATCTTCAATATGTGGGGTGTCGAGAATGGGTTCTAGGGCCGTGATGGCCTTTTAGTGTCATTTAGTCCTATTCCATTGCCATTTCTCATAGTCCGGTGTGAAAGGCTGAATAAGGTCTAGTTCAGGGACACTGGCCGCCTCAAGATGGGTTTCCATCTAATTCTGTGGGTTTATCGCAAATAATTGGGCCATCGAACTCGATGAGATCTATGGCTGGAAAAGTCCTTTATTCTGCACTGGTGGTGAACCACCTCCGAACGAGTGCCCCCTACGACCAATTTACAGCGCTGACACACACACAATCAAAGAGATCGGTGTTCATGGCAAATATAAGGCTTAAATTTCATGAGCACCACCTCACTTCCAAGGTCTTGCTCAGACGTTATTCATCCGCCCACTCTCAACACATCCAAGCTATCCTAGCTACTCGAACAAAAACCTGTGACACGACACAGTGGTCAGAGACCGACTGTGGGGTAGAACAGCCACTTCGAAACGCAACCCCAGGCACCCGAACCCGAAGTGGTTTTCATTCGCGTGTGCGCAGGTTACGGGGTACCACTGTTTTCACCGACGCCTGCCGCTTGCTGCAAACGTGCTGTTGAAACAAATGGTGAGTACAATGAACGAAAATGTGATCTTCACAGTTTTCATCACCACATACAGCAACACTGGACATTTAGTCTATCCTATTAACTACAGTTCCAACACTACTTAGAAACCGATGTCAGAATACTTTATTACACACCTGGCACTCGAACCATTCGATGCTCATCAGCGGCTTGAAAACTACGACCTGTAGAGGAACGCACTACAGACCCAAATAGGAGGACGCCGATAGACATGAAAGTTGGGCAAACACAGGGCTGCTGACAATTGCCTTGCTTTTTCACATGAAGCCGCTACTCCGTCCGTAAACAAGTACTACCAATATGTCTGGTCGTCGAAATGAACACGCCATACGGCGCTAATAACTCCAGATTATACATTAGAGTCCTAGCTTACGCTGTAGTCAGGTTGACGCTAAACGTGGACTCTCAACATCATCATTTATTTGACTCCGTAACATACCACGCGAGCAAGTTTGATATCTTACGGAGGTCACGAAGTATTTGAACGGAAGTCCGGTGCGGGTAAAGCAGTACCTGTGTGAACTCCCGAGTTGATTGCCGAATGCTGAGGCATAAAAACAATGATGACAATGTCGAAAAACGACTCCATTCCCCACTCTGAACACAACGTAATGCATTCGAATACCTAGTCAGAAAGAAGTATGTCGAGAACACTACTTGTAGGGCCACACTCCTAAGCAAAGCATCGGCTACAAAACACGCAATCTCTCAAAGTGAATTAGCTAACCCGCTCACAGTATCCACCTACCTCGCCTGTTACGCCAGCCTACAACAAACCACGTGTAAAATCGATCGCGATGGTCAACGTGCTACGAACCAGGAAAAAAACGGCAAACGCATGAACACAGCCCAGCACCGACCACGAGCTGCGATCTGAGCGAAAAACAATACAGCCAAACGAAGAGTGAACCAGCATACAAGCGAAAACACCAGGACCGCAGAAGATTTAGGATTTTAGAAACCCAGGCAGCGACCAGCACCTATGATCCAAAATCCAATGAAGCATCAATACTCAGGCAAGGACCCGTCACGAAAGCTGAATTGAAACCTGCGGACCAAAAGTTATTCATCTACTCACTCTCGACACATCCAAGCTGTCCTACGACCCGAACAAAGATCCGTGCCACGACACAATAGTCCAACGCAGACCGTGGCATACAACAGTCTTCCCGAAACAAACTCCATGTACCTCAACTCCGAGTGGACTACACTCCCGTGTTCGCAGAACGCACTACATCTAGGATTTGACATGCGCAGACAGCCTGCCAGCGAAGAGCCCTGTGTCACTGCGCGAACACTCGTCGAGAAAACCACTTTGCATCGCGAAGTCCTAAAAAATCACAGCAGTGAGCACGCGATAGGAGGCAAAAACCAAGTTTAAGTAGGATATGTTAGTGATTCAATTCATCAAGTCATTACAATGTATCATATATACAGCTAGAAAACCGTAATGGCTGGAAACAGCTAGAACTCCCTGCGATGGTAACTGTCAGGGCTGAAGAAAGAGGTGACGACCAGACGCTGGTTGAACTTCCGACCAGTTAGTGCGGTTGCAGCTTTCTGGCAGTCGATCAGACTCGCAAACTCGACATATATTTTCCCAACTCCAGGGACTTCGACGCCAGGGATCGGGCGAGGTATCTCTAAACTCCGGACAACGCCGTATTTACTGCACTCTGCACGGACATCCTCAACGATATCCTCATACTCTTCATCATCCTCCAGCTCCGAAGTCTCGATCATATTCATTAAGCACAAAACTTCAGTCGGTGGTCCACCACTACGGATCGTGATGTTACCGGAACCAGTTGTGTTTTGGATTGTCCCATCTTCTAAGCCAGGCAGCTGCAGTAAACTCTGTGGTAGGGTACCAGTTGTGTGTTTGGCTCCAACACTTGCTCTCTGCACTATAAGCTTCTTGTCACCCAACTGCATACCATTGAGACCGGCACATGCGTGGTCTGTGACATTGGCGTCCACATACTCACAGAAAGCATAACCTTTCGACAAGCCAGTAGAACCGTCCTTCACAAGGTTAAAGCCTTTCAGAGGACCGAAACTCAGGAGCAGCTCCTTAACCTGATCTTCATTCAGGTAATTTGGTAGACCACCAACAAATATCTTGTGCGGGGAATCCTGCACAACTGTGCTGACCACACCTGGGACAATGACTGAGGGTTGCTCGGAAACACCAGGTAGGGGAGCACAATCACGAGGCCGACGAAGTTTCAACGCTTGATTTTGGAACAAAACACCGTCTAGAGCCAAACCTTGGGTCGTCTCGTCTACAGAACGGAACTCTAGGAAGGCGAAGTTCTTCTCCATATTTATTTGCACAGCAATGATTGGATTCCCCTCTGCCTGGATGAGACCTTGGGCTCTCATTTGCTTGTTGAAGAACTCCATCATATTTTCTTCGGTTGCAGTGAATGGTATGTTGCCGACATACAAACGGCGAGCCTGTCTGCATACAGCACTCCCGGCAAACGGTACGTTAGTTGTGAGCGTCAGAGGAGCATTTGGTGCATGAACTGGCATCGGCACTTGCCCTGCGGCGTACACGTTGACTGGTATCTGACCTGACGCTTGCAGGGCTTTGTATTGAGCAGGTGTGACGTGTTCAAAACCAGGTGGTGGAACATCCCAGTATTTGTACACTAATGTTGGACTGGAATGGGACCGGTGGCGAGAATGATGTCGTCTGGATCTGCGGTCTTTGCTACGATCACGATGTCGGTCATGGTCTCGGCTATGACGTCGACGATCACGGCTGCGACTGCGTGACTTCTTGCGGTCGCGCTTCTTGCCCCGACCACGATCATCACCGCCAGAATCATATTTATTCTGAGGAGATGGTGGTTTTCTATCACTGCGCATAGAAGCTGTCTGGTATTCTTCTTCATCCCTCATATGATCGTAGGAAAATTGTCCATACTCCCCGTTGCCCGCAGCAGCAGATTGGGTGGTGGACCCATAACCAGTCTCCGAGTTATTATACTCCACAGGTGCTCCGTAGTCCTGGCTGTAGAAGTCGGCCATTGGAAAAGGAACGCCTGATACCTAAAAACATTTGAAAGCATGCTAAAATGAAAAACAGTGCAAGCTAGAGTAAATTTCTTCACACAAACGTTGCTAACACAAACAAAAGCAAAACAAATACAACCAGTTAATGAAAAATGTTAATCTGTACGGATAACAGGAAAACACGAACGAAACAAATAACGTACACTTTAATCTACCGAAAGACGACCAATGGAGGTGACCTGTCAAGTAGGTTTAAACAAGGTTTCAGAGTACCAGTGCACACATTTCAATGGCTTCAACCTTCAATTTGCTGGTCACACCTCATGCCTTCTCCGAATACACTGGTTCCAGAGCATAGCGGAAAAATAATGCATGTGTACTAGTAATCGTCTTAGTGGCTGCTGGACTTCGTCATCCACTTCATCACTTCTGACATCACACAACGTTTGTTCACATCCTACATCTCAGTCAGGAAAACTTGAGGAATGTCCGTACGGAGATAGTTCTACGTAGATCAACATTTTGAACGTCATAACGACGCGTTTGGTCAGGGTTGCTTCCAAATGCTAAATGCTGGTTGATAAGATGTATAGAGGCACTTCGAAAACTATTCGCCGCACGCATTCATACCTCTCAACACCTTATCTCAGATTCAGATTGAGATTTCTAACTTGAGGATAGAAGGATATGACTACATATTAATCCTTTTCCAGTAAATCTCTATGCTTTTCCAGTCCTCTTTTGAACCAGCCAACTGGTGACGCGGACACCACATCTTCTGGGGTCCGGTTCCATTTATTGATTAGTTGGCACGAACGCCAGTGCCCAGTGGAGACCAAGTTCGTTCTTCGCTATCCTACTATGCTGCCATGTCTTCTAAAGTGTCCCGACCCGGTGGGATGAGAAAAAGGATATATCAGGTTCACAGTCACTTCCTAAAACCTTTTTATAGCATGGTCAGATCTGCCCCCTATCTGCGGTAGGACAAAGAAGTTCAGCTCCTTAAGTCTCTCACCGCAGGTCAGGCTGATCATCACAGGGGTCATACCTGTGGCTGTCCTGCGAGCCTCTTCCGGAAGGTCAGAGTAACCTTCCAGACAAGGACTAGCCACCTCTTCAGTTTTTCAGATAGGACCTAAGTGAAGTTAGGTGCAAAGGTGAAATACCGCACCCTGATTGCTGTATTCAGCAGTCGCTGGGGTGGCCTTCAAAGTCACCCCGTCATCTGCGCACCCTGTACGTGTGCTCACACTGGCCTACGATGTAAGGTATCGTTCGCTTCTCTTACCCAGTAAGCAAGCTGTATGGCTCCGTCTGAAGTGTGCGCACATCCCCGTCATCTCTAACTTCTCGCCAGGCTTCTACACATCAGCGCAGCGAACCTCAGGGCGGCTCATCCGTACATGGGAAAAGTGGCAGGGGACCTAGGACTGAGCCTACTAGCTCTCCACTCTATCCAGTCCCAAGGGAAGAGCTGGAAATTGGCCCCTACTCCTCGTCTCTCACCAAAGAGGGACTCTCTGATCTATCCAAGTAAATCGCCAGTGATTCCGAAGCTGTAACTTACCAAGTGATCTGGAATGAGGTACCTTGTCGACCATGTTACTAAAGCCTATGAAAACGACATCTGCAGGTATCCTGTCATCCTTAGACCTCACCAACTTTTCATGACTGTGAGAAGACCAGTCAGGCAAGAGAAACTTCTGCGAAACCCAAGTCACGAACGTGACAACGAAGTGTTGCTTTCCACGTGGGCTGTAAAGGGTTTTGCTATTGCTCCACAGTACTAGCCAGGCTTGCCAGTCCATAATCTGATGCGTACTGCCCAGAATCTACCTTGTAGTTAGGTGTGACTATGACATCCTTCAAGTTATACGGGAACGTACCTTCACCGAGGGACAGTTTAAATGAAATGGTCAGTGGGCCAGTTGTATAGAGTTCAAGCTCTCTGAGCAGCCTTGGGTACAGTTCATCCACTTCCGCTGACATTTAGCGTCAAGAGCACTCAATATCTCAAATAAATCATTGCAGTCTATGTCCACAGAGAGAATACAGTTGGACGTCAATCCTTCTTCTGTTGAACCAGTGTCCATCGAAGTCCCATGGCCATAGATTCTCCTTCGGCTTTGTCGTCTTCAATTAAATAGTTAGTTTCTGCCCCCTTGATTAAGAAGGGTTTACCACGATAGATTCTATTCCTGTAGGTCAGACTAGATAATAACCTATCGGGGTGTTGCGGCATGGTCTGTGCAAGACGTCTTGCACAGCGTAATCGAGACTGGGGGATAGCAAGGATACATTTATTTCAGGATCTTTTTCGACGCTTTTTCACCTCGGGAGTACCAAGGTGGGTGGTAAGGCCTCAACAATTATTCTTCCTTCGTGGAAAACCACTGGTTCTGTGACTCTTCCATGGTGGATAGTGCTTCCGTTTGTTCGTGCCAGTTCATGGAACGAACTGCGGAGTCGTCTCTGTCTAGTATATCATCATCATGTGTCCCTTGGGTTCCTAGTGGAACATAGGGCTTCAGTAGCACGTCGCCATTTCACTCTGTACTCTGCAGTCTTTTGAACTTGGCTCCACGACTGCCAACAACCTTTCATTTCTTCCTCATACGGTCTACTCCGTGTCACCCTCGTCTCCAACGCCCAACTCATCGTTTACCCTTGGGGTTCCACTCGAGGGCCTGGTACATGATGTCCCCGAAAGGTCTACTCAGTGGATGCCCAACCCAATCTATCCCTGCCTCCTTCGGCATATTTGTTGGACGATGGGTCCTCAGCTGGTTCGTTGCCAGTCAGAGTTCCTTCTTGTTCATTTTTCCTGGTCATCCGATTTTAAATATCGAGTGAGCGTAGGTGGCAGCTGTTGATGCATGTCTGCAGTTTGTTGGAAATTTTTCCGTGACGCGTCAAGTTTCTGAAGCATTTAGAAGCACTGACTTGACTGGACCAGTGTAGAGAATCCGGATCCTGTTTCTTACGCAAAGTGCGGTTGATCTCCACACTGATTTCGGGTGCATAGAACTGTCTTAATTGTCTGTCCAGTCCTCCAAAGAGGCTGCCGAGTCAACAGACGCAATATTCGCTGTTTGCACATTGGGGTTAACCAGGATGCTGGCCTTCCACGAGACGGCTAGTGTTAATGATAATAATAATAATATATTTAAATAATAAGTTAAACGAACGCATGCCGATTTTACAGGCAATATCTGGATCTTAGTTTTGCCGGCGACGCTGCGAAAATTTAGAAAGAATACATCGCTACAGAACAGCTTACTTGTGAGGAGGCCATCCACCTCACATTTAGGGCTTCGATACACTACGATTGGGTTAACATATTGACCTTTAGAAATTTAATCCGCAGCACACCACCTAAGATGTCCTACTTTCTTGTGCAACCATTCCCATGGCCCTTAGTTAGCATATTCTTGATGTACGGGATGATACCACTACGCCTGCGTACCAACCTACCACCTCAAAAAAGAACGACTTCCCGTAAAATGCTTCCATTGTCGTTGATCTCAGGAGGTAGCCGAGTTTCTGAGATAGGAACGGTTGCAGGGCTTTCCGTGTTTGTTGCATTTCTAGGCTCAGTTCATTTGTTTAGGAGACCATGTGCACAAGATGACAAAGCCACTTAGATGAGTTTTCGTCTTATCCACAAAGGCTTTGGGGTCATTTGTGGCCGGGACCTATTTTTGGCAAGGAATACGTTCCTTTTGCTCAATCTACATACCTTAGGCAGGTTGACCCCTGATATGCCTCCCGATAACAGCTTGTTTACCAAGTTTGTACCGTACCAAATTCATGTCTGAAACAGTTACTTGGTTTCCAGTCAATACTCTCTTCCATTCTGCATAAGATTACAGACTCTTCTAAGAGTTCCACCTTATCTTCAATATGTGGGTGTCGAGAATGGGTTCTAGGGCCGTGATGGCCTTTTAGTGTCATTTAGTCCTATTCCATTGCCATTTCTCATAGTCCGGTGTGAAAGGCTGAATAAGGTCTAGTTCAGGGACACTGGCCGCCTCAAGATGGGTTTCCATCTAATTCTGTGGGTTTATCGCAAATAATTGGGCCATCGAACTCGATGAGATCTATGGCTGGAAAAGTCCTTTATTCTGCACTGGTGGTGAACCACCTCCGAACGAGTGCCCCCTACGACCAATTTACAGCGCTGACACACACACAATCAAAGAGATCGGTGTTCATGGCAAATATAAGGCTTAAATTTCATGAGCACCACCTCACTTCCAAGGTCTTGCTCAGACGTTATTCATCCGCCCACTCTCAACACATCCAAGCTATCCTAGCTACTCGAACAAAAACCTGTGACACGACACAGTGGTCAGAGACCGACTGTGGGGTAGAACAGCCACTTCGAAACGCAACCCCAGGCACCCGAACCCGAAGTGGTTTTCATTCGCGTGTGCGCAGGTTACGGGGTACCACTGTTTTCACCGACGCCTGCCGCTTGCTGCAAACGTGCTGTTGAAACAAATGGTGAGTACAATGAACGAAAATGTGATCTTCACAGTTTTCATCACCACATACAGCAACACTGGACATTTAGTCTATCCTATTAACTACAGTTCCAACACTACTTAGAAACCGATGTCAGAATACTTTATTACACACCTGGCACTCGAACCATTCGATGCTCATCAGCGGCTTGAAAACTACGACCTGTAGAGGAACGCACTACAGACCCAAATAGGAGGACGCCGATAGACATGAAAGTTGGGCAAACACAGGGCTGCTGACAATTGCCTTGCTTTTTCACATGAAGCCGCTGCTCCGTCCGTAAACAAGTACTACCAATATGTCTGGTCGTCGAAATGAACACGCCATACGGCGCTAATAACTCCAGATTATACATTAGAGTCCTAGCTTACGCTGTAGTCAGGTTGACGCTAAACGTGGACTCTCAACATCATCATTTATTTGACTCCGTAACATACCACGCGAGCAAGTTTGATATCTTACGGAGGTCACGAAGTATTTGAACGGAAGTCCGGTGCGGGTAAAGCAGTACCTGTGTGAACTCCCGAGTTGATTGCCGAATGCTGAGGCATAAAAACAATGATGACAATGTCGAAAAACGACTCCATTCCCCACTCTGAACACAACGTAATGCATTCGAATACCTAGTCAGAAAGAAGTATGTCGAGAACACTACTTGTAGGGCCACACTCCTAAGCAAAGCATCGGCTACAAAACACGCAATCTCTCAAAGTGAATTAGCTAACCCGCTCACAGTATCCACCTACCTCGCCTGTTACGCCAGCCTACAACAAACCACGTGTAAAATCGATCGCGATGGTCAACGTGCTACGAACCAGGAAAAAAACGGCAAACGCATGAACACAGCCCAGCACCGACCACGAGCTGCGATCTGAGCGAAAAACAATACAGCCAAACGAAGAGTGAACCAGCATACAAGCGAAAACACCAGGACCGCAGAAGATTTAGGATTTTAGAAACCCAGGCAGCGACCAGCACCTATGATCCAAAATCCAATGAAGCATCAATACTCAGGCAAGGACCCGTCACGAAAGCTGAATTGAAACCTGCGGACCAAAAGTTATTCATCTACTCACTCTCGACACATCCAAGCTGTCCTACGACCCGAACAAAGATCCGTGCCACGACACAATAGTCCAACGCAGACCGTGGCATACAACAGTCTTCCCGAAACAAACTCCATGTACCTCAACTCCGAGTGGACTACACTCCCGTGTTCGCAGAACGCACTACATCTAGGATTTGACATGCGCAGACAGCCTGCCAGCGAAGAGCCCTGTGTCACTGCGCGAACACTCGTCGAGAAAACCACTTTGCATCGCGAAGTCCTAAAAAATCACAGCAGTGAGCACGCGATAGGAGGCAAAAACCAAGTTTAAGTAGGATATGTTAGTGATTCAATTCATCAAGTCATTACAATGTATCATATATACAGCTAGAAAACCGTAATGGCTGGAAACAGCTAGAACTCCCTGCGATGGTAACTGTCAGGGCTGAAGAAAGAGGTGACGACCAGACGCTGGTTGAACTTCCGACCAGTTAGTGCGGTTGCAGCTTTCTGGCAGTCGATCAGACTCGCAAACTCGACATATATTTTCCCAACTCCAGGGACTTCGACGCCAGGGATCGGGCGAGGTATCTCTAAACTCCGGACAACGCCGTATTTACTGCACTCTGCACGGACATCCTCAACGATATCCTCATACTCTTCATCATCCTCCAGCTCCGAAGTCTCGATCATATTCATTAAGCACAAAACTTCAGTCGGTGGTCCACCACTACGGATCGTGATGTTACCGGAACCAGTTGTGTTTTGGATTGTCCCATCTTCTAAGCCAGGCAGCTGCAGTAAACTCTGTGGTAGGGTACCAGTTGTGTGTTTGGCTCCAACACTTGCTCTCTGCACTATAAGCTTCTTGTCACCCAACTGCATACCATTGAGACCGGCACATGCGTGGTCTGTGACATTGGCGTCCACATACTCACAGAAAGCATAACCTTTCGACAAGCCAGTAGAACCGTCCTTCACAAGGTTAAAGCCTTTCAGAGGACCGAAACTCAGGAGCAGCTCCTTAACCTGATCTTCATTCAGGTAATTTGGTAGACCACCAACAAATATCTTGTGCGGGGAATCCTGCACAACTGTGCTGACCACACCTGGGACAATGACTGAGGGTTGCTCGGAAACACCAGGTAGGGGAGCACAATCACGAGGCCGACGAAGTTTCAACGCTTGATTTTGGAACAAAACACCGTCTAGAGCCAAACCTTGGGTCGTCTCGTCTACAGAACGGAACTCTAGGAAGGCGAAGTTCTTCTCCATATTTATTTGCACAGCAATGATTGGATTCCCCTCTGCCTGGATGAGACCTTGGGCTCTCATTTACTTGTTGAAGAACTCCATCATATTTTCTTCGGTTGCAGTGAATGGTATGTTGCCGACATACAAACGGCGAGCCTGTCTGCATACAGCACTCCCGGCAAACGGTACGTTAGTTGTGAGCGTCAGAGGAGCATTTGGTGCATGAACTGGCATCGGCACTTGCCCTGCGGCGTACACGTTGACTGGTATCTGACCTGACGCTTGCAGGGCTTTGTATTGAGCAGGTGTGACGTGTTCAAAACCAGGTGGTGGAACATCCCAGTATTTGTACACTAATGTTGGACTGGAATGGGACCGGTGGCGAGAATGATGTCGTCTGGATCTGCGGTCTTTGCTACGATCACGATGTCGGTCATGGTCTCGGCTATGACGTCGACGATCACGGCTGCGACTGCGTGACTTCTTGCGGTCGCGCTTCTTGCCCCGACCACGATCATCACCGCCAGAATCATATTTATTCTGAGGAGATGGTGGTTTTCTATCACTGCGCATAGAAGCTGTCTGGTATTCTTCTTCATCCCTCATATGATCGTAGGAAAATTGTCCATACTCCCCGTTGCCCGCAGCAGCAGATTGGGTGGTGGACCCATAACCAGTCTCCGAGTTATTATACTCCACAGGTGCTCCGTAGTCCTGGCTGTAGAAGTCGGCCATTGGAAAAGGAACGCCTGATACCTAAAAACATTTGAAAGCATGCTAAAATGAAAAACAGTGCAAGCTAGAGTAAATTTCTTCACACAAACGTTGCTAACACAAACAAAAGCAAAACAAATACAACCAGTTAATGAAAAATGTTAATCTGTACGGATAACAGGAAAACACGAACGAAACAAATAACGTACACTTTAATCTACCGAAAGACGACCAATGGAGGTGACCTGTCAAGTAGGTTTAAACAAGGTTTCAGAGTACCAGTGCACACATTTCAATGGCTTCAACCTTCAATTTGCTGGTCACACCTCATGCCTTCTCCGAATACACTGGTTCCAGAGCATAGCGGAAAAATAATGCATGTGTACTAGTAATCGTCTTAGTGGCTGCTGGACTTCGTCATCCACTTCATCACTTCTGACATCACACAACGTTTGTTCACATCCTACATCTCAGTCAGGAAAACTTGAGGAATGTCCGTACGGAGATAGTTCTACGTAGATCAACATTTTGAACGTCATAACGACGCGTTTGGTCAGGGTTGCTTCCAAATGCTAAATGCTGGTTGATAAGATGTATAGAGGCACTTCGAAAACTATTCGCCGCACGCATTCATACCTCTCAACACCTTATCTCAGATTCAGATTGAGATTTCTAACTTGAGGATAGAAGGATATGACTACATATTAATCCTTTTCCAGTAAATCTCTATGCTTTTCCAGTCCTCTTTTGAACCAGCCAACTGGTGACGCGGACACCACATCTTCTGGGGTCCGGTTCCATTTATTGATTAGTTGGCACGAACGCCAGTGCCCAGTGGAGACCAAGTTCGTTCTTCGCTATCCTACTATGCTGCCATGTCTTCTAAAGTGTCCCGACCCGGTGGGATGAGAAAAAGGATATATCAGGTTCACAGTCACTTCCTAAAACCTTTTTATAGCATGGTCAGATCTGCCCCCTATCTGCGGTAGGACAAAGAAGTTCAGCTCCTTAAGTCTCTCACCGCAGGTCAGGCTGATCATCACAGGGGTCATACCTGTGGCTGTCCTGCGAGCCTCTTCCGGAAGGTCAGAGTAACCTTCCAGACAAGGACTAGCCACCTCTTCAGTTTTTCAGATAGGACCTAAGTGAAGTTAGGTGCAAAGGTGAAATACCGCACCCTGATTGCTGTATTCAGCAGTCGCTGGGGTGGCCTTCAAAGTCACCCCGTCATCTGCGCACCCTGTACGTGTGCTCACACTGGCCTACGATGTAAGGTATCGTTCGCTTCTCTTACCCAGTAAGCAAGCTGTATGGCTCCGTCTGAAGTGTGCGCACATCCCCGTCATCTCTAACTTCTCGCCAGGCTTCTACACCATCAGCGCAGCGAACCTCAGGGCGGCTCATCCGTACATGGGAAAAGTGGCAGGGGACCTAGGACTGAGCCTACTAGCTCTCCACTCTATCCAGTCCCAAGGGAAGAGCTGGAAATTGGCCCCTACTCCTCGTCTCTCACCAAAGAGGGACTCTCTGATCTATCCAAGTAAATCGCCAGTGATTCCGAAGCTGTAACTTACCAAGTGATCTGGAATGAGGTACCTTGTCGACCATGTTACTAAAGCCTATGAAAACGACATCTGCAGGTATCCTGTCATCCTTAGACCTCACCAACTTTTCATGACTGTGAGAAGACCAGTCAGGCAAGAGAAACTTCTGCGAAACCCAAGTCACGAACGTGACAACGAAGTGTTGCTTTCCACGTGGGCTGTAAAGGGTTTTGCTATTGCTCCACAGTACTAGCCAGGCTTGCCAGTCCATAATCTGATGCGTACTGCCCAGAATCTACCTTGTAGTTAGGTGTGACTATGACATCCTTCAAGTTATACGGGAACGTACCTTCACCGAGGGACAGTTTAAATGAAATGGTCAGTGGGCCAGTTGTATAGAGTTCAAGCTCTCTGAGCAGCCTTGGGTACAGTTCATCCACTTCCGCTGACATTTAGCGTCAAGAGCACTCAATATCTCAAATAAATCATTGCAGTCTATGTCCACAGAGAGAATACAGTTGGACGTCAATCCTTCTTCTGTTGAACCAGTGTCCATCGAAGTCCCATGGCCATAGATTCTCCTTCGGCTTTGTCGTCTTCAATTAAATAGTTAGTTTCTGCCCCTTGATTAAGAAGGGTTTACCACGATAGATTCTATTCCTGTAGGTCAGACTAGATAATAACCTATCGGGGTGTTGCGGCATGGTCTGTGCAAGACGTCTTGCACAGCGTAATCGAGACTGGGGGATAGCAAGGATACATTTATTTCAGGATCTTTTTCGACGCTTTTTCACCTCGGAGTACCAAGGTGGGTGGTAAGGCCTCAACAATTATTCTTCCTTCGTGGAAAACCACTGGTTCTGTGACTCTTCCATGGTGGATAGTGCTTCCGTTTGTTCGTGCCAGTTCATGGAACGAACTGCGGAGTCGTCTCTGTCTAGTATATCATCATCATGTGTCCCTTGGGTTCCTAGTGGAACATAGGGCTTCAGTAGCACGTCGCCATTTCACTCTGTACTCTGCAGTCTTTTGAACTTGGCTCCACGACTGCCAACAACCTTTCATTTCTTCCTCATACGGTCTACTCCGTGTCACCCTCGTCTCCAACGCCCAACTCATCGTTTACCCTTGGGGTTCCACTCGAGGGCCTGGTACATGATGTCCCCGAAAGGTCTACTCAGTGGATGCCCAACCCAATCTATCCCTGCCTCCTTCGGCATATTTGTTGGACGATGGGTCCTCAGCTGGTTCGTTGCCAGTCAGAGTTCCTTCTTGTTCATTTTTCCTGGTCATCCGATTTTAAATATCGAGTGAGCGTAGGTGGCAGCTGTTGATGCATGTCTGCAGTTTGTTGGAAATTTTTCCGTGACGCGTCAAGTTTCTGAAGCATTTAGAAGCACTGACTTGACTGGACCAGTGTAGAGAATCCGGATCCTGTTTCTTACGCAAAGTGCGGTTGATCTCCACACTGATTTCGGGTGCATAGAACTGTCTTAATTGTCTGTCCAGTCCTCCAAAGAGGCTGCCGAGTCAACAGACGCAATATTCGCTGTTTGCACATTGGGGTTAACCAGGATGCTGGCCTTCCACGAGACGGCTAGTGTTAATGATAATAATAATAATATATTTAAATAATAAGTTAAACGAACGCATGCCGATTTTACAGGCAATATCTGGATCTTAGTTTTGCCGGCGACGCTGCGAAAATTTAGAAAGAATACATCGCTACAGAACAGCTTACTTGTGAGGAGGCCATCCACCTCACATTTAGGGCTTCGATACACTACGATTGGGTTAACATATTGACCTTTAGAAATTTAATCCGCAGCACACCACCTAAGATGTCCTACTTTCTTGTGCAACCATTCCCATGGCCCTTAGTTAGCATATTCTTGATGTACGGGATGATACCACTACGCCTGCGTACCAACCTACCACCTCAAAAAAGAACGACTTCCCGTAAAATGCTTCCATTGTCGTTGATCTCAGGAGGTAGCCGAGTTTCTGAGATAGGAACGGTTGCAGGGCTTTCCGTGTTTGTTGCATTTCTAGGCTCAGTTCATTTGTTTAGGAGACCATGTGCACAAGATGACAAAGCCACTTAGATGAGTTTTCGTCTTATCCACAAAGGCTTTGGGGTCATTTGTGGCCGGGACCTATTTTTGGCAAGGAATACGTTCCTTTTGCTCAATCTACATACCTTAGGCAGGTTGACCCCTGATATGCCTCCCGATAACAGCTTGTTTACCAAGTTTGTACCGTACCAAATTCATGTCTGAAACAGTTACTTGGTTTCCAGTCAATACTCTCTTCCATTCTGCATAAGATTACAGACTCTTCTAAGAGTTCCACCTTATCTTCAATATGTGGGGTGTCGAGAATGGGTTCTAGGGCCGTGATGGCCTTTTAGTGTCATTTAGTCCTATTCCATTGCCATTTCTCATAGTCCGGTGTGAAAGGCTGAATAAGGTCTAGTTCAGGGACACTGGCCGCCTCAAGATGGGTTTCCATCTAATTCTGTGGGTTTATCGCAAATAATTGGGCCATCGAACTCGATGAGATCTATGGCTGGAAAAGTCCTTTATTCTGCACTGGTGGTGAACCACCTCCGAACGAGTGCCCCCTACGACCAATTTACAGCGCTGACACACACACAATCAAAGAGATCGGTGTTCATGGCAAATATAAGGCTTAAATTTCATGAGCACCACCTCACTTCCAAGGTCTTGCTCAGACGTTATTCATCCGCCCACTCTCAACACATCCAAGCTATCCTAGCTACTCGAACAAAAACCTGTGACACGACACAGTGGTCAGAGACCGACTGTGGGGTAGAACAGCCACTTCGAAACGCAACCCCAGGCACCCGAACCCGAAGTGGTTTTCATTCGCGTGTGCGCAGGTTACGGGGTACCACTGTTTTCACCGACGCCTGCCGCTTGCTGCAAACGTGCTGTTGAAACAAATGGTGAGTACAATGAACGAAAATGTGATCTTCACAGTTTTCATCACCACATACAGCAACACTGGACATTTAGTCTATCCTATTAACTACAGTTCCAACACTACTTAGAAACCGATGTCAGAATACTTTATTACACACCTGGCACTCGAACCATTCGATGCTCATCAGCGGCTTGAAAACTACGACCTGTAGAGGAACGCACTACAGACCCAAATAGGAGGACGCCGATAGACATGAAAGTTGGGCAAACACAGGGCTGCTGACAATTGCCTTGCTTTTTCACATGAAGCCGCTGCTCCGTCCGTAAACAAGTACTACCAATATGTCTGGTCGTCGAAATGAACACGCCATACGGCGCTAATAACTCCAGATTATACATTAGAGTCCTAGCTTACGCTGTAGTCAGGTTGACGCTAAACGTGGACTCTCAACATCATCATTTATTTGACTCCGTAACATACCACGCGAGCAAGTTTGATATCTTACGGAGGTCACGAAGTATTTGAACGGAAGTCCGGTGCGGGTAAAGCAGTACCTGTGTGAACTCCCGAGTTGATTGCCGAATGCTGAGGCATAAAAACAATGATGACAATGTCGAAAAACGACTCCATTCCCCACTCTGAACACAACGTAATGCATTCGAATACCTAGTCAGAAAGAAGTATGTCGAGAACACTACTTGTAGGGCCACACTCCTAAGCAAAGCATCGGCTACAAAACACGCAATCTCTCAAAGTGAATTAGCTAACCCGCTCACAGTATCCA